TTTATTCCAAATCTCATGAGATTTGGAAAAATCCTCAAAATGATGCCATTGGAACATTGATGAAGAGTGCATTGACTCCATAGGTCACTTCAGGTGTTATGGATATCATAACCATCCAGTGATCTTTCACACAGTATGTTACTATCACATGTTCACTCTGAGATTTTCATAAAGTGGATACTGTGGAAAAATGTAAAGAATCATTTATTTGTTCAGGTTATGTTTGGTATGTACTGTGTACCCATCAACTTTGCAATGCCATAGTAAAATAGTTATTGATGTTTTTCCTATTTGTGTTATAGTTCCTATTTTAGAGTTACTATTGCATGGCTGTTTTATCATCATAAATCAAAATAAGAGAAAAAGGTACTCTACCAACAATAAAATCTCAGTTTTCCCATGTGGTTCTTTCCCATAAGTACAGTAATCCTAATAGACTGCAATGTAGTCCTATAATCAACAACTGGATATAAGAAATGCTCAGTGTTTGTTCTGCGATTTGCTATCTTTGTGGCTATAAGTTTCTTACATTCATTGAAAATTTCAGAAATAGCTGAATATGATGACATATATCCCACATCCCAGCTACTTGAGAGGCTGAAGCAGGAAGATCATTGAGCTAAGGAGTTTGGGACCAGCCTAGGGGCAACATAGAAGAATATCATGTCTTTAAAACAAGAGACAGAAAGAGAGGTGGAGGAAGCTTACTACAAGTAAATAAGGAAACTTGTAATTATCTAAAAATTAAATTATAACTTATGACTATAGTTTTGGGGTTTTTTTATATTTAGGGAACTTAAGCAAAGAAATGTTAATTTTTACACTGAGATTTTTTTTGCAGTACTGTTGTTAACTTCATTCGTAAGTAATTTACATTTTTGATAATTACAATATTATCTGACATGGATGGACTAATCTTTAGTAGTTTTCTCATTGATTTTATGTATTTTTTATTATCATTTTATGGTTACAATACATAACACATTCATCTGGGGGAAACTGGTACACACTTCCTTTTCCCCTCCCCCCTGTTTTCCCACCATCCTCAGGTTCTCTCCCCAATTCTACAATGTCTACTTCCTTACTTTGTGTCTTGTTTTGTTCTTTAAATAATTTATACTTTTTGGTTATTTTCCTATAAGGATTAAATGTATATTAACTGTCTGGGGTAGGATAGGTTCTTTTTTTTTTTTTTTCCATAATTTTATTGAAAAACAAATAGCAATGAGACAGTTTCAAACCAAATTGGTAGGACAGTTTCAATAATTAACACATTGCATACATTCTTCCTAGTGGTAAGAATGCTGTACAAGATGCGGACATGATATCCTATTTACAAACACCATTAGAACAAATCCTTCTATTCATTAA